CAGTTAAAACTTCGACCCAATCATCCCAAACTCCTCCAAACTTCGAAGAGAAACTAACCAAAGATCCGTCAAAAATTTCGTCCTTGAAACCCCTCAGGCCCAATTCCACCTTAAGGGCAAACAAAAAGGCCACTTCGGCTCCTGGGATGGACGTAAATCTCAAGGCCCAATGCAACAAAAATCCCACCACCGCCAACTTCTGTTGTTTGCTCACATAAGAACAATCATCCCACAGGTTCTGGAAACACACACCTTTCTCAAGAATCATTCGCTGGTTCTTGTGCACCGCAGCACATCTCACCCCAACGGGCCAGTCAAAAACTCAAACCACACATCCCAGGAAATCCCAGCTCGAAGAAGTGCTAGTACACTCCAAAGTGAGGTTGGAGTCATAGGAGTTAGCGAAAACCTTCAAGATGCCACGGGCCTTATCCAAGGAGGCCTTATCATCCTTCTTAWACCTCACCATCAKGGAAACATCATCGATTAACCAAATACCATGCACCAGACTCCTGTCCTTTCCCAAGGAAGATAAGAAGGAAAACTCAGAAAAGGCACACAACAGGCACGCAATGGCCGGACTAGAGGGCTTACCCATCCGTATACCAATTATCTGTTGCAACAGCCGACCACTAGCAGAGGTAAAGGTATGCCACAAATCAAATATCACGAATTCCCTGATGGTGTCACACCAAATGGTCTCCCAACCTTCCTTCTTGCTGGTTCTTAGCAGCTTAACACCCTTGCCCATCTTTTTGATAGACACACCCTCAACCTCACGCAGGCGCCAGAAGTCAATTATCCAGTCAACTGCCTTGACAATAGATGCGTGAGGCAGGTTACAAAACATTTCCTTTACGTCAAAGGCAGCGGTCAACAAGGCCTCACCCTTCCTCAAATCTTTGTTGACCGAATTGAGAGAATAAACCAACAAATTTGTACTCTTCAAATTAAAATTCGAGCGCTTCGACAATTCCCATACCAGCAAATTAACGGCGCAAGCAATCTTTCGACAAGCCCTCACACTACATTCCGAGAAGGAGGGACAAATCGGACGCCATCTGTTCACGTCCTTGTGCTTTGGTATAACGTATGCCCTTCCAAACTTACCCCTGATATCCCAGCGTGCCAACCGATCAAAGTTCCTTTCCAAATACGCCGCCCTGGTAGCGGCTAACAACGATTCCTCACTCTCATCACATTCGACAAAGCCATCGTTATCCAAGAACAACTGTCTCATGCCCTCCGAATACTTAACAGGGCAACAAACCAATGTGTCCCCCGGGTTATGGTCAATCGGGGTTCGAACCAATCCTTCAACCTTCTTAGTCCAAGTAATCACCTCATCCTCATTGCACACACCTAGATCACCTCTCCAGACCTCATTCATGCATACCGCAAGATCACCACGTCTAACCTCCGGGACCTTAAACCCAAGGTCTGGGAAGGAACTCGAAATCTGAGCCCTCAACCTCCCCACTACATCGCGTCGAGAGGGACGGACCACATTCCGATTATTACGAATACATACTGGAGCATCCTTCACATCATTCAAACGGAAACATACATGGCCGCCCACCCGCTGAAACCCATGGCCAAACGATTCACAAGTACAAACTAATTCCTCCTTCCTTGCCGCCGTTCTGAAATTGAAAAGCAAATCCCCCACACTCTGATTCTTTAACCAAACAATCCTCATCCGGCGCACTGTCATTCGTTTCCACTCGTCATCGCCATCAGCCATCATAATCAGTTTGGCACAAAGGGAACGCAAGGCAGGCTTACTAATCCCAACATCATACGTGGCTCGTACAATCAAACGTTGCCTGACATTCACATGGAAGCGCTTCCTGATCACACCCGAAATAATAAGCCACAGACGACACCGAGAACACTTTTCAGAAAAGGCCCGAACAGCAGTGAAGGCTCTAACCAATACAGCAAAATCCCAGCCCATCAATTCCTTACGAGAGGGGGGATCAGAAAGCAAGGCGGACAAGGTCAGTTTCAGGATCAAAGCTCGCGACAAGAAGGGCACAATCGCAGACACCAACAGACGGTGCCCCGGAGGAAACAGATCTTTCCCTTTCCTTAGCAGTGACGTGCCCGCATTCGAATGGATCAGCGAGGAGCCAAACTTCCGTTTAATAACTTTCCAATTTTCCACAAAACGTTCCCCCCCGACACAAGCAATCCAAACAGAGGACACCCTAGAAGACACACAAGCATCTAGAATCATTGATAAGTGAGGCGACACAATCCCGATGGAAGAGCAAAAGAGCATGTGAGTGTGGCAATTCCGATAGGAACCCAACACAACCTCCTGGTGCGCCCTACGTCTCCTCTCATGTTTACCCAGACGCTAACGCTTAGGTTTCCCACTTTTATCACGAGAGTTCAGGTACGGGCACAACCAACGAATCACCCATTTCTCCATGTAAAGAACATCACCTTCACTACAGCGAAACAAGGGAAGAGCGACATATTGCCCAACACGACAACGCCTCAGCCATCCATTCAATTTGTGATTGCGCCTACCACTGTTGACAACCCCCAAATTCAGTGCACGAGAAACATGTTCACTCCATCGTACGGGCAAGGATCGAGTGGTGGATCCTACATAAATGTGACGAGTCCAAGGAGAGATCAAAACGTAAACCAGAGGCCCCTCACAATCCTCAAACCCGGTTCCTTCACGCAACCAATCAGATAGACCCCTTCAATTGGTTTGCCCACGCAATCTCACCCCGAAGAATCAGATGGACCACCAGCAATTGAAAATAAGCATTAAACTCCCGATCTCGTAAGAAGAGGTCCGAGGAACCATCGGCAGACGAAGAAGAGGAAAAGGAGGAAAGGAGAAGGGAATTAGAAGAAGGGGGACCAAGAGGAGAATCCACAACAGACGGGAAAGAAGAGACATCCACGTCGGTCGAATTAGCCCCTGAGACAGAAGAAAAGGCCGACAAAGTAGAAACAGCACAACGCTTAACACGGCAATCGAAAGACAGCGACCATAACTTAGCCACGCTCGGGACGTCTCCTCAAAACTCAGCACTCTTCTCTTCCTCGACGTCAGAAGCATCAGTGCGAGCTCCCTCTTCCTCCTCCAAGATCTGCACCGAATCCGAAATCTGTTGCTTACCTTTTTCCCCAGGCTTCCCAAACAGTTTATGGCCCGGTATTCAGCTAATTTGTTGACCATGTCCGATACCTTCCCAAGCTTGATTCCCGCTTCCTTACAAAGTGGTTCGAGTCCAGCCTTCTTCAGAGTACGCAGCTTCTTCTTCTCACCCTCAACGAAGGAGAAACATTCATTTATGACCCGAGTTTCATCGGATTCAGAACGAAGGGTAACCCGGCCAGGCGTGGCCTTCATCCCTTTCTTAGCGGATCTCAACGCAACCGCCTCAAGACGCTCCTTCAAATTCGTACCGCCAGCAGCCGGTTCYGTATCCACCCTAGGAGCCCCACCCTCCGCTGTCAATTTGCTCAACTGCTCCTGCAATTGCTTCACCTGCAGTTCTGCCTCCATTCTCCTCTTCTCTGCCTCTGCACGCCTCTCCTTAAGCATCGCAACCTCGGTATCCGAAGAACGCTGCAAATCTTGGAGATTACGATACTCCGTCCTCCACTTATCCGCCTGACGAACGTTGTCCGTCCATCTTGGTTTCGAGGTACCTCGATTTGAGCACTCAAGTGTGTCAACCACCACACTACCCCGCTTGTTCCCAGGCCGAAGCGCCTCATTCTTCCAAACCTTAACCTCTTCCTCAGCCCGTTGACTAGAATCACGGAGCAGACCAACCTCCTTACGTAAGCCTGCAATCTCATTTTCGAAATTAGTCTTGATAAGAGCCGTACCGCGCAACTCCTCAATCTCCTTCTTCAAGGCGAAAATCTCATCACTCTCACACTGATTACCAGAAAACTGCTGACGTAGCTCCACTAATTCACGCTGCAGCCGCACCACCATATTATCATCGCCACGATCAGCCTCGCTACGCAGTTTGCTCTTGAGTTCTTCATTCTCTTTGATCAAACGAGACAGCTGATCATCCCGACTGTTAAGTTCCCCATCACCAGATTTGGAAACCTTATTCTGTAATCCCAATGCTTCAAGTTTTTTGTCCAGGCGCGCACCCATCTCCAACTCAAGTAATTCCAGTTCACGCTTCCATTCCGACTTCCGATCCTCCTCTTCCTTCAGCCTTTGAGCAGCTGCCTCCTCCTCCTTACGCTTAGCCTCCTTTCTCCGATCCTCCAAGTAGTGATTATAACAAGCATCCAGCCGCTCTTGGTTGACCTTCCACCAGCCCACCCGACCGTTAGCCTGATAGCCCTGACCGGAGAAAACGTTAGACTGACTAATATGCGACCGAGGAGGGACTGGTTCAAAAGAAGAAGAAGCATTAGGAGCCGAAAGAGCAAGAAGCGGCGGCCCCGTAGGGACCGCATTAGCCCCCGTCGCAGAATGTCGTTGACCACCAAACCTCGTAGGGCAATCACGGACCCAGTGATTCATAGACCCACAGTTAAAACAACCAGAGGTGGGACGCACGACAACCATCGTTCAAAACGCAGGAAAACAACAAGGCAAAGGAAATAAAATAAAATAATCGTGTATGAAAACCCTCACACATGCAAGACAATCACACACAACGTATCACTCACTCGTAGTCCAATTGCTACGTTGGTTCTAACGTCGAAGAGATGGTAGTGTATGAACACAGACACATCCAACGTGAAGTCGAGCATCACAGAGAGCCCAACACGACGGTCCACAGGGACCTACCGCTCATCAGTAGACCAATCCACAGCATGCTGAAAAGAGAGAGAGAGAGAGAGAGAGAGAGAGAGAGAGAGAGAGAGAGAGAGAGAGAGAGAGAGAGAGAGAGCGAGAGAGAGAGAAAAATC